ACATTAGAAAATTGGGTAAAAGGAGACATCAGTCAGGGAAAGACAAGAAAAAAAATTATAAACTATCAAGGGTTCATGAGGGAGGGAGGGTAGGAGAGGGAGGGAGAGAAAAAATGAGGAGCTGATACTAAGTGCTCAAGCAGAAAGAAAATGTTTTGAGAATGAGAATGGCAACAACTGTACAAATGTGCTTGATACAATTGGTGTATGGATTGTGATAAGAGCTGTAAGAGCCCTCAATAAAATGATTTTTTAATAAAATAAAAGAAGCTATGGCAGTTAGCTTCCGTAAAGATTACAGCCATGGAAACCCAATGGGGAACTTCTACTCTGTGCTATTATAGTCAGTATAAGTCAAAGTCAACTTGTTAGTGGAATTGGCTTTGATAAATGCTCCAATTTACTTTCTATCTACACACACAAACACACACACACACACACACACACACCTGTCAAAAAGTATTGCTACAAAATTATGTTGCTATTGTTACTAGCACTCTTAAGTCAGTTCCCACTCACAGAATCCCTCTATACAACAGAATGGTCCTGCCTGGTCCTGGTCCTGGTCCGGCGCCATCCTCACCACCATTCCATGCCTGAGCACGTTGTACGGCAACGATGCCAATATATCTCCCTGAAGGCCTTCCTCTTTACACTGACCCTCTCCTTTACCAAGCGTAATGGCTTTCTTCAAATGCCAGCCCTTTCAGATAATGTGTCCAAAGTAAGTGTTTCTAAGGAGCATTCCGGCTGTACTTCCTCCAAGATGGATGTGTCTGTTCCTTTGTCAGATTCTTCACTACACCGTAATTCAAATCCATCATCTCCCCATTCATTGTCCATCTTTTGTACACATATCAGAGGATAGAAAATACCAGGACTTGAGTCAGTAGCACCTTAGTCCTCCAAGTGCATCTGGACTCTTTAACACGTTAAAGAGGTCTTTTTCAGCAGATTTTACCAGTGCCATTTGCTGTTTGATTTTTTTTATTTTTATTGCTGCTAGGATGGTTAGGAGCCCTGGTAACATAGTGGATTACCTTTGGGGCTACTAACCACGGGTCACAGGTCAGCAGTTTGAAATCACATGCCGTTCTGCAGAACAAAGATGAGGCTTTTTACTGCTATATAAATGTGTCATCTTCACAGCCTCCTGGCGCAATTCTGCTCTCCTTTATTCGGGTCTCTGTAAGGCGGGCTCAGCTCCACGACACTGAGTTTGGTTTGGGTCCAGGAATATTCACTGGGTCCAAGGAAAGTAAATCCTTGACAACCTCAATCTTTTATCCATTATAATTTCATTTATTGGTCCAGTTGTGAGAATTGTTTTCCTTACATTGAATTGTAATCCATACAGAAGGCTGTAGTCTTTAATCTTTACCTCTAAGTGTTCAAGTTAATCCATCTTCTTAGATTATTTGCTCAGCATACAGATTGAGTCAGTATGGGGAAAGGATACAACCCTGCAGCACACAAAATATGAAGTTATCATTTATCAACACACTCTCCAGGTAGATTGCATACACTTCTGAAGGTTGTATTTCCATCTCTTTCACCATGTGCAAAAGTATGCAGTATTCTTTGATTTACAATACATTGAACAGAAGTGTTGGGATTCTCAAGAGATTCAAATCATGTTCCTTCCAAATGGCTTGTGAGTTTGGAGAACAAAAAAAGTTGAAATGGTGGAAAGTCTCCAGGTGTGCAGTCTAAAGTTTTCTAATATAGGACGGCCCTTGCCACCTTCAAAGGATGAGCAAGTACATTGTCTTGTTGGGGAAAAAACATTCTTTAGTGTAGTTTCATATTCTTTTTAAAAAATCATTTTATTGGGGGCTCATTCAACTCTTATCACAATTCATACATACATCAATTGTATAAAGCACATTTGTACATTTTTGTTTTGTTTTATTATTTTTTAAATCATTTTATTAGGGGCTCATACAACTCTTATCACAATCCATACATACATCAATTGTGTAAAGTACATTTGTGCATTCATTGCCCTCATCATTCTCAAAACATTTTCTCTCCACTTAAGCCCCTGGCATTAGGTCCTCATTTTTCCCCTTCCTCCCAGCTCCCCCCTCCCTCATGAGCCCTTGATAATTTATAAATTATTATTTTGTCATATCTTGCCCTGTCTGACATCTCCCTTCACCCACTTTTCGGTTG